ATCCCTAACACAAAATATCAAGGACCAAACCTAAGAATAATATGTATAGAAAAAGAAAAAGAAATACAGCTCAAGTGTACAGAAAACATATTCAACAAAATCATAGACAAAATCTTCCCCAACATAAAGAAAGACATGCATATGAAAATACAAGAACATTATAGAATACCAAATTCACTGGACCACAAAAAGAAGTACCCTTGCCACATAATAATCAAAACAAGTTCACATGATAAAGTAAAAATATTAAGAACAGCAAAGGAAAAAGTCCAAGTAACAAAGGCAGAACTATCAGAATTACACCCGACTTTGTAGGGAGAGATCCTAGGTACCTCTAGGGCTGACCATGACATTTGGGCATGGTCACAGGTACATAGAAGGTATGTGAAATAAATTGCTAAGAGGGAGGAGTTCCACTCAGGTCTTGGAGTGTGGATGAGACTGGATTTCTCGGAGCACCAATCTGGTTATGTGTTTCTCTTGTGAGTGGTTTTCTTTAATAAATTGATCATCAATATTCATACCCCATGTACAGTTATATTTCCTCAACACGACTTTTCCATGGAAACTCTGAAAGCCAAAAAGTCCTGGATAAATGTACTTCAAACGCTACAGGAACATGGATGCCAGCCCAAACTGCTATACCACGCAAAGCTTTCAATAACTATAGATTGCAAAAACAAGATATTCCATGACAAACCCAGATATAAAAAATACATATCCACAAATCCAGTCCTATAGAAAGCACTAGAAGGAAAACTGCAACCCAAGGAAGATAATTGTACTCACAATAACAAAGGCAATATATAATTCCACAATGCCAAACACCAAAAGAAAAACAGGGGGGAAATCCACACACAATATCAATTCCACTAACAAGTCCAAAACAAACAAAAATTGACAATCAGTGGTCATTAATCTCCCTCAATGTCTTAAATTGCCTATAAAAATACAGAGTCTAACAGAATGGATATGAAGACAGAATCCATCTTTCTGCTGCATACAAGAAACACATCTCAACATCAAAAACAGACAATACCTCATAGTAAAGGGTTGGGAAAACAAGCTAATGGAGCAATCCTAATATCTATCAAATTAGATTTCAAACTAAATCAGTCAAAAAAGATGAAGAAGGTCATTTCACATTCATCACAGGAAAAGTCCATCAAGAAGAAATCTCAATTCTGAACATCTACACCCCAAATATGAAGGCAAACACCTTAGTAAAAGAAACATTACTAAAGCTAAAGTCATACATAAAACTTCACACACTTAGAGGGTGAGATTTCAATACCCCACTCTCACCACTAGACAGGATCATGAGACAGAAATTAAACAGAGAAACAAAGGAACTAACAGAAGTTATGACCCAATTGGGTTGAGCAGACATCTATTGAACATTCCATCCAAACACAAAGGAATATACCTTCTACTCAATGCCACATGGAACTTCCTCAAAAATCAGCCACATACTTGGCAACATAGCAAACCTCAACAGATACAGAAATATTGGAATAACCCCATGTATCCAATCAGATCACCATAGTTTAAAGTTAGAATTCAACAACAACACAAATTGTAGAAACCCTACAAACTCCTGGAAATTAAACAATGTGCAATTGTACCAATCCTGGGTCAATGAAGAAATTAAAAAGGAAATTAAAGATGTCCTAGAATTCAATGAGAAAGAAGACACAACATACCCAAACTTATGGTATACTTTGAAAGCAATGCTAAGAGGAAAGTTCTTAGCACTAAGTGTACACATGAAGAAACTGGAGAATAGTCACACTAAAGAATTAACAACACTACTACTGGAAGCTCTAGAAAAAGAAGCAAACTCACCCAGTAGGAGTAGATGCCAGGAAATAATCAAACTGAGGCCTGAAATGAATAAAATAGAAACAAAGAAAACAATACAAAGAATCAATGTAACTAAGAGTTGGTTCTTTGAGAAAATCAACAAAACAGACAAACCTTTCTCCAAACCAAATAAAATGCAAGGAGAAGACATGCTAATTAAGAAAAATAGAAATTAAAAGGGGGACATAACCATGGACACTGAGGAAATCCAAATTATCATCAGGTCATACTTTGAAAACCTGTACTCCACAAATTTTAAAATTTGAAGGAAATGGACAATTTCCTGGATAGATATCACCTACCAAAATTAAATCAAGAACAGATAAGCAATTTAAATAGACCTTTAACTCTTAATGAAATAGAAGCAGTCATAAAAAAAGCCCAGAGCCAGATGGTTTCAGTGCAGAATTCTAGCAAAAAATTCAAAGAAAAGCTAATACCAATACTGTTCAAACTGTTTAACACAGTAGAAGCAAAAAGGTCATTGCCAAACTGTATTTATGAGGCAACAATTACCTTGGTACCCAAGTCACACAAAGACACAAATAAGAAAGAGAACTATAGATCAATGTCCTTCATGAACATTGATGCAATAACACTCAATAAAATACTTTCAAATAGAATCCAAGAAGTCATCCACCATGATGTAGTAGGCTTCATCCCAGGGATGCAGGTATGCTTCAACATACCAAAATCTATCATTGTAATCCACCATATAAACAAACTAAAAAGAGAAAACCACATGATCATCTCACTAGATGCTGAAAAAGCCTTTGAAAAAATCAAACACCCCTTCATTAAAAAGTTCCTAGAAAGATCAAGGACAACAGGAACATACCTAAATATAATAAAAGCAATATACAGCCAACCAACAGCCAACAGCAAAATAAATGCAGAGAAAAACAATGAAATCTTGAAATTTGCAGGCAAAGGGATGGCACAAGAAGAAACCATCCTGAGTGAGGTAACCCAGTCACAAAAAGACAAACATGGTATGTACTCACTCATATGTTGTTTCTAGACTGACAGAGAAGCTATGAAACAAGGAGGATGCTAAGAGAGACATACATGGTCCCCAGGAGAAGGAGAAAGAGATAAGATCTCCTGAGTGGATTGGGAGCATGAGGGGAGGGGAGATGGAATTAGAAGAAAGAGAAGGAGAGAAGAAGAGTGGAGAGGAGGACATGAGAGAGCAAGAAGGTTGAATCAGGGAAGAATAGATGAGAGCAATAAGAGATACCATAATAGAGGGAGCCATTATAAGTTTAAAGAGAAATCTGGCACTAGGAAAATTTCCAGAGATCTACAAGGATGACCTCAACTAAAAATCTAAGCAATAGTGGAGAGGCTACCTTAAATGCTCTTCCCCTATAATGATACTGATGACTACCTTATATGCCTTCCTAGAGCCTTCATCCAGTAGGTGATGGAAGCAGAAAGACACCCACAGCTAAACACTGAACTGAACTCCTGGAATACAGTTTAAGAGAGGGAGGAGTGATGAGCAAATGGGTCAAGACAAGACTGGTGAAACCCACAGAAACAGCTGACCTAAACAGTGGGGAGCTCATGGATCCCAGACTGATAGGTGAGGAACCAGCATAGGACAAACCCAGACCCCCTGAATGTAGTGTCATTTAGGAAGCTGATACAATCTATGGGGCCTCAAGTAGTGTGTCAGTATTTATCTGTATTATATGAATGGACTTTGGGAACCCACTCCACATAGAGGGATACTCTCTCAGCCTAGACACACAGGGGATGACCTAGGCCATGCTCTAAATAATATGACAGATTTTGCAGATCCCCATGGAAGACCTCACCCTCCCTAGGGAGAAGAAAGGGGATGGAATAGGGGATTGGTGGGAGGCAGAGGTGGAGAGGAAGGAGAAGGAACTGGGATTGACATGTAAAACGAGCTTGTTTCTAATTTAAATTAAAAACAGGAAAAAGACATGGGGAAGTTTAGAAATAATTAATAACTGTGTATGGAATAAATTATATTTTTCTGAAATATGACTGTGACATTACATTGCAAATTATGGTGTTTCGTTGGAAAAAACGGATTTTCCCTTTGGTAGCGGGTATCAATGTAACTAGCTTCCTGGTTAGGGATGGGACTTTGTGTCCACCTGCCCTTCTCCCCATGAGAATTTTTTCTGATTTGAACTTTTGCAGGTTTGTGCGAATATCACAATCTGTGATATCATATGTGTATCAGTCCCATTGTGCCTGGATAATGCTATTTCCTTGGAGTCACCCACCACCTGTGACTCTTACAGTCTTTCTACTTCAAAAGGGAAGTGTTATCAGGAAAGTTTTTATGCTGCAAATGTTAAATACTGTTCAGACTACTCAACTACTCAGAATACAATATGTGACAATAACAATAAAATATATGATAATATATAAGTTGGCAGTTGGCAAAAATACTTAGGGGACAAAGTCAACCATATCCATGTCTGATAATGAATGTGACTCCTGGTATCATGGTGTCTCTTTGATGACTGGTGGCTTTATGAAATTTGAGGGGTCTCCATCCCCTAATTTAGGTTTTGTCAACTTGAACAAAGACAGGGATGTTGATAGGCCCACAACCTTGGGGAAAACATCTTAATTCAGTCTTGAACTTAAAAGATGCTTGGAGGTCCTGATGGAAGAATAAAGAGCCCCCAAGTCTTTGCAACCAGTCACACCAGGCATGTGAGAAAGGGGCCAGAAGTTTGCCATCTTTAACACTCATGAAATTTGTTATCTTTATTATGCATTTATTGCCCTCTATCTATCTCTCTATCTGTCATGGATCTGTGTAAATCCTAGTCCCTCACATACATATATAAGAAGATTGTATGTGCCAATAAAATCCTTTTAGGGGGCTTCACTGTAAACTTTTAGTCCTTTACTGTTCTTCTTTTTCCATTTTTAAGTCTCCCTTGAATTTTTCTTTGTGGCATGACTCCAAATAAATGCTATGATCCAGATGCATCATGAGTATTGAACTGGGTTTTTACTAAATCAGGAGTAAGCCCTTGCTTCTGGTGCTGAGAAAGAGGGGGACCTCCATACCCACTTACTCAAAAGACACTCAGTGCACTTCAAAGACAACTATATCTGAATAATAACCTCAGCAGGTAGAGTCACCAAGAATAGCAGCTGAGGCAGCCCAGGCTCATACTTCTGCTTTGCTCAATGGCTTGTGTTTTGACTTGTTCCACTGTGGGTGGGTAACTGCTGAACTGTTGACAGTAGTAAGTTCCAATATCTTCTGGCTCCAAAGTGCTGATTGTGAGGGTAAAATCTGTCCCAGACCCACTGCCACTGAACCTCGATGGCACTCCATCTTCTAACCTGTTTGCAAGATAGATGAGGAGCTTAGGAGATTTCCCTGGCTTTTGCTGATACCAACTTAATGCAGTACCAATGCTCTGACTGGCTTGACACCTAATGGTGACTGGGTCTTTGAGAGATACAGTCTGAGATGGAGACTGGGTCAACTGGATATCACATATGGAACCTGGAATTAAGAGGGGAAGAAAGAACAAAACTATATAATTCTGCCTCAAAAGTCAATCATAGAGTTCCCTGACAGCCAGGCAGCACTGAGCACACTGAGAGAAGCACTGCTGTCCTCCATACCTGGGATCCAGAGCAGCAGCAGCCCCAGGAGATGAGCAGGAGCCCTCATGTCTGTACTGTGTCCTGATTGGAACTGACTCCTGCACAGGGTGTGACCAGCCTATAAAGAAGTCCTCAGAACACTGGAATGTTCTGTTGTATGCAAATCATCAGGGCTTAGATGGCCTGGGCACAGCTGCAGAGTTCTCTCTTCTCAGGAACTGACCCTCTACCAATCTCTGGGCCTGATCAGGACACTGTGTTCTTTTTCTACAAAGAAAACATTGTTTCTCTCTAGGACTCAGAGGACAGACTGATGTTACTTTATTAAGACTAGACTATCTTTTGTTTATAAAAGGTCAGTGGCATGTAGATTTCTTGCTAGCCTTATATTATTGTCCATCTTTCACAAAGGAAATTCCAGAAACTTTTAGATGTTATAGAAGTCATATTCATTTGGTCATGTGGATATTCTTGAGACTAAGAAAAGTTCTTTAGCTGGTTTCCAAGAATTTTGTGCTTTGGTTACTCTACTATCAATCCATGATGGGAAAATATACAAGAATATATATTTAGAGACTAAAAGTTAGTTATTAATAAGATAAAAAAATACTTTTAAATTTTAAAATAACATATGTAAAATTGTACTATATATAATCTTCCCAGTAGGGACTAGACAGCCATAGAAACGGGGCATGCGTGGTACATACCTTTAATCCCAGGACTCGGGAGACAGAGGCAGATGGATCTCTGTAAATTCAAGAACACCCAGGGATAGATGAAAGTGAATCAGTATAAAGAGAAACAGAGTTTGTACCTTAACCCCAGAAATAGAGAGGTATATAAGAGGAAGACCACGGTCTCATGCAGGATACAGGTCAGTCTCAGGGCAATGAGTCTCCCCCCACATTGAGGATAAAATCTCCCAGCCTTGGTTAGGTAAGAGCTCTCTGGTTGCTTGGGTACCTTGCTTCTCTGATCTCTAGCTTGAACCTCAGTATCTGTATCTGGGTTTTTATTAGCCATGGTACATCTACATGTACCCACAGAAACAACTAAAAAGATCAGTAGACCACTAAATGTACCTTAAATATACAACGTAAAGGTTATTTATACTACAATCACAAATATGTAAGGTTGTTCTTTACTATAATAAAAATTTAATTGTTATCAATATGAAACATTTTATAAAGATCTGAAAATAAGGGTCATAGCTAAATGCTAAGGAGTACGAAGGCTGTTTGCCATGATTAACATGAGATTATCTCAATTACATGTCACTTCTTGAATATTTCAATTACTATTCTAACTGTGACATGTTCAGATTCAATACTAAGTGAAAATGTCAATTATGTGCAGTATCTGACTGATTCTGACTTAGTAATATAAACACCATCTCAAAGCAAGAATTTGTTCTTCCTATTGTCTCCATGTAGAGGTTGTTCACCAATATGGTTAAATTTTTCCTGTGTTATATGTTATTTGATTTATATGCAAGGACCAAGATAGTGTGGAAGACCAGTATTTTAGAACAAAACCTCACAGCAATAATATCAACAAAAGAAAGAACAAGTTTACTGAATTAATGAAATTTTCTAGAAAATATCCACTCCCTGCCTAGGGCTTTCTCATGTGATCTGTGATTTGATATTTTACCTTGTTCCCCACTTCTACCTTCATTTTCCATGCTATCTAGGTTTGACATAAATAATGCAATAACTGGGGCATTTCAGCTGTTCTATATAAACTAGAAGTCAGGTGAACCCTGCCCCGAGAACAAATTTTGATGTTCAGGACAAGATTTTGGGAGAGACTTTTCAGTTCATCTGAAAACAATGAATTAGCAGGATCACCAGCTTCTACAGGATCATGACTAAGCCGCTTTCAGAAAAGTGGCTGGAGACCTTGAAGAGATGGATCAATAGCCTAATATTATAATCAATAATCTCTTCTAGCATTATAAAAATGTCTGGTCATTCTGCTGCAAACCATTAAATAGAAAGACAAGTGTTCATGGTGACCCCTGCAGGAGAATTAGCTCATTTCCAAGCTTTCCAGAAATCTATGTCTCTTTATTTTTTTTCAGTGTGTATAACCCTTTTCCTTGGTACTTCTTATATCTATTAACAATATTTCCTCTAACCTCTTTTATTTTTTCTAATTTCCCCAGCATTATGTATTAAATGAACCTTAGAAGACTGAGGGTAAGCAACTACAATAATTAAGAATACATTTTTACTTCATCCATTTGCAAACATAAACATACACATGTGTTCAAGTATTCGTATATGGTAAATTGTTGTCATCTTGACACAAACATAGGTACATCTGAGAAGTAGGAACTTTAGTTAAGGAATTATCTCCATCAGAGTCTTGGCCCACTGTGGGAAATGCCACTCCTGGACAGGTAGTTTTATGTTATATTCCATTTTCTCTATTTCCTGCCTTAAGTTTTCTATGTTGAGCTCCTGTCCTGACTTACCTCAGTGATGGAATAAACGATAAGCTAAATGAACCCTTTCCACTCCCAGTTAATGGTCTGAGTTTTGATTTTCATGAAATATCAAAGATGTGACTTGAGAAAATAGAAGAGGACAGAGGACACCTAGGGTGCAGTGGTAGAAGGGGAGTATGTATGGGAAACTGAGTCCTCCTCTGTGAGTGGAGTTTCCCTGCATCCCAGCAGTTCCTTATTACTAACTAGCACTTACACCTTAAAGTAACCCATTATTATTCATCTATGTGTTGCCCTGAGGACCATGGCATTTACTTCTCTGACAGGTCTTGCTCATTGTCCTCATCCAAATATTCCCAGAGCTGACTCTCCCCTATCAGCTGATGTCACCCCTCTGACTCATTCACCCTAGCTTTTCTGTGGCATTTGCACAAATCGGCCACAGATAAGTTTGAAACCCTGAATAGCCATCACTTTTATGGCACCATTTGTTTCCTTTAAATACATCCTGACTCCAGAATTTAAAATGGTTTTGATCACACATTTCAGGGAAAAAGATTTTCCCACTAGACGTTTGTGGAGACAGACTCTAAATTGGAGATCTCTATTGGGTGTCCAAGACTGACTGAAGTATACTTAAAGTTAAAGTAAACCAGGTCTCTAGGTTTGTCATTTATGCTAAAAAATTATTTGAATGTTATATTTATGTTCAGAAGGTTTTGTGATTGCATATGGTTTTTAAATGTTTAACAAGTCCTATGAATATTATCATTGTTAAGAAGAATTACAATGAATTTATAAAAAACTTTTAGGTAGTATACACATGTTTACAATGGAAATTCTTCTGACCTGTGAATACGTCTTCCCTCTAGCTCTGTACATTAGGATTTTGCATCAGTGACTTATACTTTTAATGGTATAGACATATGCTGGCTGATTTATCAACTTAATACAAGCTGGTCTCATCTCAGAAAAGATAGCCCAAGTTAAGGATGTGCCTCCATCAGATAGGCCTATGAACAAAGCTGTAGGAAGGTTTCTTGATGAAGGATAGAGATGGGAGGGCCTCTGAGGATACTATCTCTGGCAAGTGGTCCTGGAATGTAAAAGAAGGAAAACCGAACAACCCATGAGGAACAGCCAGTAAGCAGCATTCCTCCATGGTCTCTGCTTCAGTACCTCTCTCCATTTCCCTGATTGAGTTCTGCATTCTGGATATGTGAGACAAATAAAGCCATGCCTCTATTTGTTGTTTTCAACAGTATTTTATCAGATGATAGAAATATTGCTAAAACAAGGAAATTTACCCCTTTGATTAAATGTATAGTTTCTTGGAAAATTGGGAGTCAATCTACCTCAAGACACAGCTATACCAATCTTCAGCATTGACCCAAAGGATGCTCAATTATACAGCAAGGACACATGCTCAACTATGTTCATAGCACAATTATTCATAATATCCCAAACTTTAAACAACCTAAGTGACCCTCAGCTGAAGAATTGATAAATAAAATGTAGTACATTTACATAATGGAGTATTGCTCATCTGTAAAAAACCAATGACTATATAATATTTGAATGGGTAGAACTATAACAAATAATTCTGAGTGTAGTAAACCGGATACGGAAGAAAAACGTGGATATTAGGTACAGAGTAAAGACAACCAGGCAACAATCCACAGCCTCAGAGAGGCTAGGTAATCAGGAGGGCCCAAAGAAATATGGATTTTCTTTTTTATTTTTATTTTTTATTATTTTAGTTTAAATAGCTTGTTTTACATGTCAATCCCAGTTCCCTCTCCCTACCCTCCTCCCGCACTCCCCATGCTACCCATCCTCCCACTCTATTGCCAATTCCTTCCTCATAGGGAATATCTAGAGTCTGTCATTTCACTAAGGGCAGGGTCCAAGCACTCCCCTAAGAGTCCAGGCTGGGAGAGCATCACTCTTTGTGTTATGGACACACAATGTCTGTTTGTATTCCAGGGATAGACACTGATCCACTGCTCAGGGCCCCATAGGTTTCCCAGTCCTCCTCACTGACTCTCACATTCAGGGGGTCCAGATCAGTCCCATGCTGGCCTCCCAGCTGTCGGTCTGGAGTCCAAGAGCTCGCCCCTGTTCGGATCAGCCATCTCTGCTGGCTTTGCCAGCCAATTCCTTGCCAAAATGCTCATCGCTCCTCTCTTTCTGTCGCTGGGTTCCCTGGGCTCAGTTCAGGGTTTAACTGTGGGTATTTGTCTCTGCTTCCATCATTCACTGGATGAAGGCTCCAGGATGGTTTTAGACATCAAGTTCATTATCAAGAATGGAAATTCGAGGTGGTCTCGCCACTATTGCTTAGCTTGCCAATTGGTGTCATCCTTCTAGATCACTAGAGGTCACAATGATGCCTGATCTGTCTTCTAAACTATGATTCCCTCTTCCCCCCCCCACTCAACCTTCCTGCTCCCCCATGACCCACTCTCTCTTCCTCTTCTCCCCCTCTCCATTTCCCAGCTCCCACTCCCCCCCACCCCTCGCCGTATTCCCCATCTGTTCAGAGGATCTTGCATCATTTCTCTTCTCTTGGGTACCATGCATATCCTCTAGGTTCTTTCTTGTTTCCCAGACTCTCTGTCAGTGGAAGTGCAGACTGGCACTATCCTGATCCATGT